TCGGCTTGGAGTGGTCTGCTAAGGTGGCCGGCCAAGTGCTCATCTTGTGGCCGGCCCATGGTGGTTGGCGGGCTGGTGGTGGCGGGGCGGTTGAAAACATGTGGTCGACCCAAGGTGACCGTCGGTTGATGGTGGCTGGCCAGGATGGCCGGTTGGCTGGGTGGCGGCGGGTTGAAGACATGTGGTCACCCCAAGGTGACCGCCGGTTGGTGGTGGCTAGCCAGGATGGCCGGTTGGCTGGGGTAACTTGGCCAACAGGCTGGAGCAGGGTGGCTGGTCCAATGTTGGTTGGCAGATTAGAGTAGGATAGCCGGTTGGGGTTGTTTGGCCAGGAGCAGGGTGTCCAGCCGGCTAGGTGGTCGGCTGGTATTACTACTCGGCGACGGCGACTTCGGAGGTGGCATCTGAATCCCCTAATCATTGGTGAAGGAATTAAATTGAAAATTTTTGTTGTATTTATTATTCAACCCATGTGAACATTCGATGAAAAGAAAATATAAGATCTGAGCACATTTTTAGAAAAAAAATAAAAATAAAAAAGTGGTTAAAATTAATTGATAAAGGAAAATCCAACATATTAGGAAAATGATAATTTTTCTTATATAATTGTAACTCTTTTGTAACTGGGCATTACCATCATATTTACTAGGCAACGTCATATTTTTTATTATTCTATTTTTTGTTATATCGATCTTTAAAAATTCTGTCCCAAATACGCACACACACGCACATATATATCTATGTATATATGTATGTAGGTGTATATGTATGTATGTATGTAGATGTATATGTATGTATGTATATATATAGAAAAAAAGAAGAACAATCGGTCAAGAAAGCAAAAAAATTGGAACAAGAAAATTCAAACAAGAAAACAGTAACACAGTGGAACACATAGATTTACGTGGTTCTGCGAATTGCCTACATTTAAGGAGTTGCAGAGGATTTTACTACTTGAGGAATATACAATAGTCAATCGTCTCGACTTACAAGAGGGATCTTTCACTTCCTTACTCTCTCATCTTCTCTCTCTACATCGAGATAAACTGAAGAAAATAAACTTACAAGAGAAATAAACTCAATTTCTCTTCTGCCACATGCCACCAAGAAGAAGCCAAGGGAGAACAATCTTCTTCTTTTTTTTTCTTCTTTCTTCTGTCACAAGGAACTACTGTTTACGCTTCTTTCACTCTGCCCCGTGGAAGCAGAAATACCGAAGAACACAAAAAAGTATGTGTTTTATATGGAGGAGAGTCGTGCAATACCTTTTATCATGAGATGAGGCGCGGTTGGCGACGTTTCACAAACAGAAGCAATACTTCGCTTCGAGATTGAGAAAAGGCAGGATCGGTTCGCGACATTTTGCGACAGAGGAACGGGAGCTGGAAAAACATCCCTATTTTTTTAATTTGATAATTCGGGCTCCACACCAATAAATCTCCCACTTGGAGACCGGTACAAACGCAACAACATCTCCTTCCTCAAACTGATCTCCTCCATTGACGGCGTCACCCTCTTCTTCAAACGTAAATCATCTACCTCTGCAACTCAATGCCCTTGTTTTCACATTAGATTACCAACTGAAGCTGTGCACAACTTCAGTTTCTCAAGAATTCCACTCTTAGTTCACATATCAACAGGATCTACATAGTCTTGCACCTCCAAGCTATTTCCTAGGTTACTCTTGTTTCTGCTTACAACTCCCACTGCATGGGCAATATCCTGTCTCTGCTGAAAGCCTTTTTCAATAAGTCTAGCATTGTACCTCTTACTACCATCAAGCTCAGTCTTCACCCGGTACACCCACTTGTTGTGTAATGTCTTCTTCCCTGGTGGAAGTTCTGTCAGCTCTCACTTACTTGAATTTACATCTTGGAAGATTTCTTCATCACTCTGAGGTTCTCCATCATCTATCTGTGGAACAATATAAATGGTTTCCCCGGACCCACTCCCCTCTTCACTTTCATCACTGCCCTGCACTGTGACCTCTGATAGATCAACAAACCTTACATTTATACAATAACTAGAGCCTTCAAGAGATGCCACTAGAGAAGGTCCACACACTTATGTGTGTACAAGATCTGGTTTTCTGCCTTTGGCGCTCTGCCACCTTTTAAGAAACTGACATTCTTCTGCTTCCACACAATGCACCTCTGACTCATGTGTACACGCATGAGTAAACCTGTAGTCATATATAATGTGTCAGTTTTTTTAATCCGAGCCAGCACTAATGCTCATTTGGTAACCTTCCAAGTGCTATCTGAGAACACTACTGAATGACCACTCTTATTGAGCTGCTCAACAGAAATGAGATTTTTCTTCAACTCAGGAACGTGTCTGACCTTTTACAAAGTCCACTTGTTCTTATTTGGAAGTGTAATGTTAATGTCTCCAATTTCTAACACATTCAAATCTTCTCCATTTGCCAGATATACTTTTCAAAAGTCACTTGCAACATCTTGCAACATAATTTTAACATAATTTTGCATCAATTCCCGATAGAATGTTGTATGGAAAGAAGCCCATGAATCCAATATCCAGTTATCAATAGAACTATGAATTGCCAACAGTAGTGCATCCCATAGCTCTTCAGTTACCACATCTGCGCTATCATTCTCTATCTTGTTGAGATTTATGTAGTTCTTCTTATGTGGTCAGCCTGCTGACCAGAATTTGATTTTGATATCCCTCTATTTGAGTTCATGTTTTGTGATCTCCCTCTGAAATTAACATTTAGTGCGAACTCAAACCTGAGATCTCGCCAGAATCTTTCCTGTGCACATCCTCAACCAAAATCAAATCACAAATATCAACATATTTTAGTTTAGATTTACCTGCAGAACTGCTAACTGTCATTCTCATGGTTTCCCAGATATTTGGCAATGATGCCAACAATATCAGTGCACGCATCTCATCATCAAAATCAATTTCAACAGACGACAATTGATTTATGATAATATTAAAGTTATTCAGGTGTTGAGCAATAGAAACACCTTCCGTCATCTTCAAGTTGAATAACTTCTTCATCGGATATACCTTGTTATTTGCTGATGTTGTTTCATACATACCTGATAAGGGTGTTATGAGATCTGTAATATTATTTTCCTTTACGACGTTGTGTGCAACGGACCTCGACATGGTCCATCGATTAACCCCCAGAACTTGCCGATCCAACAAATTTCATTTAGCTTCATCAATTCTTTCAAGACTTTTTCCCAATAACGGAAGGTGAAGTTTCTTCTCACAGAGATAGTCCTTTATTTGCATCCTCCAGTAACCAAAATCTGTGTCATCAAATTTCTCGATCCCTAAAACCTTCATTTCATCTGCAATCATCGTTCTTCCTCAGATCCTAAACCACGGACTCTGTTACCAGTTTATGTGGTATATATATAGAAAAAAAAGAAGAACAATCAGTGGAGAAAGTGAAAAATTGGAATGAGAAAATTCACACCATAAAATAGTAACACGGTGGAATACACAGATTTTCGTGGTTCGACAAATTGTCTACGTCCATAGAGTTGCAGAGGATTTCACTACTTGATGAATATACACCAGTCATTTGTCGCGGCTTACAAGAGGGATCTCTCACTTCGTTACTCTCTCTTTTTCTCTCTCTACACTGAAGAAGATAAACTTATAAGAGAAATTAAAACCAAATTCTCTTCTGTCTCAAGCCACCAAGAAGAAGCCAAGGGCGAACGATCTTCTTTTTCTTCTCACTTCTTTCTTCTGCCGCAAGGAACTACTATTTGCACTTCTTTTACTCTGTCCCGTGGAAGCAGAACTGCCGAAGAAGAGCACAAAAAAAGGCTGTGCTAAATCTGAAGGAGAGTCGTGCGATACCTTTTATCGCGAGAGGAGGTGAGGTTGACGACGTTTCATGAACATAAGAGATACTTCGCTTCAAGATGGAGAAAAGGGGGGAGTGGTTCACAACAAAGGAGAGGTAGATGGGATTGGGAGGCGGGAGCGGGAAAAACATCTTTTTTTAAATTTGATAATCCGGGCTCCACACTAACATATAGATGTATATGTATGTATATATAGATATATGCATGTTTATATATCTATGTATAGATATATGCATGTGTGTGTGTGTGTGTAATATTGTTTAATCCAAATTTGTCATGTCCATCATGCTCGAGGAATAGAACATGAAACCTGAGGGAGAAAGAATGAGAGGGAGAGAAAGAGAGAGATTTGTTCGAAAATAGTTGTTCACGTGGTTCTTTAGGCATAGAAAGTAAATGTTACAGGTGAGAGAAGAAGGGGGTGTGCTCTACATGGGGGTTAAGAGAGGGAGAGAAAGCTTCGAGATCCTTTTATACATATCAATGGTCCTCTACTTATGAAAATGAGGGAAGAAAGGGATTACAATAATGTCCTAGATTTATAAAAGGTTGTAAGGAGTACTTTGGTCCTTCCCTTGCTTGAATGTGTTATCCTCGAGCATGTTTGCCTTCTGTGGTCCGTTGAAGTCGAGGGGCCTGCCGGCTGGAGCGACAGTAAGTAGATGACATGGATGAAATATAATAATTTTTTTTTTAATAATATCTTCTTTATACGTTACAAGGCATATAAATCAAATCTCTTTTTAAAATGAATATTACGTCCGGAGTCCAATGAATCACCTCCACGTAGAGCTGATAGAAAAAAAAACTCATTTTTTTGTGATCCAACCCGACAACACATGAGAAAATTCCTCCCGTGTTATTTCACATTACTCAAGTATTATTGCGGTGATATTGATATATTATTATGCTATTATAATACTGAGAATATTTTCAGAACATAATAATATATGAATACTATCACAATATCATATGAATAATGTGGAATAACACATGATAAATATGTTCTTGTGCTAAAATAATTTTGTTTATTTCTCTATCAACTTTATCTGAGTAATTTTGTTGGACTTCAAAGGTGTGTAATATTTGTTCCTTTCAAGAATATTTGAATTTCATCCTCAAAAAGATGCCAGAAGTACCAAAGCTTATTATTCTCTTTCCATCCGCAATCAGCATTTCAGAATCGAACCCCGCATATCTCCCATGGTAGCCGAATCCTCAACCCCTAGACGGAAACCTAGGTTGCCACTGCTCGGCGTTATCACTTATTAATCTACGGCCGGCGGCTCTTTCCCAACTCCGTTCATGGCTTCCAGAGGAACAAGAAAGGTTTCTCCTCGACCATTCCTTTCCACATTAAAATATATTGCTCGACTCATATGACTAGAATCAATTGAAATTTTCTTGAGAAATTGTAAAGGGCGGAACTCATCGGATGGATGGGGCTATTGCTGCGCTGACACCGCTCGGGTTTTCGAAGAAGCTGATATGCGATACAATCAGAGAGCTCATAAAAGTGCATCCTTTATATTAACTTTTGTCTTTTTTATTTCTTTTTATAAATTTTGTCTTGTATCTCTGCAAGCAGGGAGTTATAGAAAAGTTGATTGCATGGCAGGCGTATGAGGACAATGATGCCGGCTGGTATTTTGTTGAAGAAAATTATTACAGGATGGTGATAGATAAGATCATGGAAGAACAAGACAAGAAAAACGAAGAGGTAACATTGATAGCTACATTATTATTTTCCTTGGTTTCACCTGCTGACATTTCAATCTTTTTGTTCTTTTTAGTTAAGACTTGAGGATTTAAGTTTGGTTCTATATTATATCGTTTGAAAATATATTGTTGCACATATATGAAGTTATGAGCCCTTATCAACGTGGACTATATGTCAAGTTATAGGACCTTATCAATATGGGCTTAAGATTTTGGGTTAAAGAGGATTTTATCATTGGGGTATCTTGTACAACTTTGATTCTTCTTTGTTTCGATCTCTAATAAGTAGTGTATATAAGAGTTGATAATTTAATATTTGTGATTGAATTTTTCTTATAGTTTGTGGCTCCCAATTTTGGCTTACTTTTATCACGGTTGAGCGAGATTCAAGAACATTTAACTCCTATGATTCTTCCACACGATTGATTGGGCTCTTGGTGCTTGATACTCGATGATATTGAAAAGTTCATATGAGAGGGAGTAATGCCCAATATGGATAGCTCTCAAGTGAGGGAGCGGTTGTTAAGGCATGTGAGAATCTTATTTTAATCTATGTCAGGTAGCTTCAAAATATATTGGTGTAGAAATACTAAATAGTTGATTCTAACTTAAAGGTTTAAGTTTTTGTGTTAAAAGTGAATTTGACCATTGGTATGCCTAGCCAAATTTTGATCCCATTGAGTCCTCCAATGCTTTTCTAATTATTCCTGAGGAAATGCATTACTTCCTCTGCATTTAATAATCTTTTATGTGTAGCAAAACCTTAGCTTGATGGGGACAATGCCTAGGATTTGCCTTGTTATTATAATAATAGTTTCATATATATAAGATAAATAAACAGAATAGTAGATAGAATCTAAACACAGAGTATGGAGATTCATAGGGACGAGGCATTTTTTTTTTTTAATTTTTATTAGTTATGTAAATTAATGATCTTAATCTATTAGAACTAAATGAAAATATGACAGTAAATAGGATGCAATGGAGAAAAAAGATTCATGTAGCCGACCCCACGTAGTGGGATGAAGGTTTTGTTGTTAGTGTTGTTATTAGTTATGTAGTGGTATATTATTTTTAGAAGCTTGAGAGGAGATAGGGATGGTTGTGCAACAATTATTTGTTTGCTATACAGAATGGAGATCGTTTAATTTGTTGGGATCATGTGATTAGTTGTGGTATGCAGCCGCGGTGGCTGCTCCACATGCAATATGTAGCCATAGTTATTATGAACTAGGTTATCATCTCCCCTCAATATTACAATCTTAGGCTGAATTGTCAACTTGTTAGGAAGTTTGTTGAAGTGAGTTGCTGAGATAGATTGAACAAGAATGTATGTTGGCTGGTCATGAGAGCTCACATGTAATAGCTTGCGCTCATTAGATTGAATGCGTTCATAAATGAAATCGTATTCGATTTCAATGTCCTTTATGCAAGCGTGAAAGATTGGGTTGTTGCAATGGTTATGGCTGAGATGCTATCGTAGCATAGTGGTGTAGTTTGTGTGGTGGGTTTGCTTAGTTCTTGTCACGATGACTCATAATTACCTAACATAATAACATAATTGTAATTCTATCACCTATTGTTAAAGAAGGAAAGAAGTTTTCTGATTGGTGAACCGGTTTACACGAGTATAGCTCATTAGTTTTAAATAATGAGAATACATGTAGAAAGGGTTTCAAGAGAAGAAAGAAAACAATTGGTTGGAGAAAGAAGAAGATAGACTTCAAGAAATTGAGGAGAGCATCTTGGGGATCTTGTATCGAGCTGGTTCGAGAGAAAGAATATGACAAGAGGGTTCATCTCTCAATGAAAAACTATGTAAATCTTGTTTTATTGTCTTAGTGAGTTCATGGATGATTTTCCTCTTGTGTATGTAGGTTCTATGGACCGAACCACATAAAATTTTTGTTTGTTATTGATTGCAAATTTTTTCTTTTAGTCCCTTTTTTTTCCTTTTCTTCGGCTGTTCAAGTGTTTGGCGGTGCAAAATTTCAACAATTGACATCGTATGTGGGAATTCTAGCCACGACAATGAGAACCGTCAAATTTGACATCGAGAAATTCACCGGAAAGAATGATTCCGGCTTGCGGAGAGTCAAGATGAGAGCTTTGTTGGTACAGCTGCAAGGTCCTACGACATTGCCGACCGAGATGTCCGAGAAAGAGAAGAACAACATCCTTGACAGGGTTCATGGCTTGATAATTTTGAGCTTCGGTGACAAAGTTCTGAGGGAAGTCTCGAGGGAGACGACGACTCAAGCATATTGGGCCAAACTCAAACTGCTTTACATGACAAAATCTCTGGCCAATACTCTTCTTGAAGCAACGACTGTACTCTTTCAAAATGCACGAAGACAAATCAGTTTCGGAGCAAATTGACGAGTTCAACAAGATCATAGTTGACCTTGAAAATATCGACGTCAAGATGGATGATGAGGACAATGCATTGCTGTTACTAAACTTCATTCCTAAGTGTTACGAACACTTCAAAGATGCAATGCTCTATGGAAGGGTACAAATAATTTCATTAGAAGAGGTTCAATCGCTGATTATAACTAAAGAACTTCAAAGGAAACATGACATGAACAAAGAATTCAGCGAAGATGACCTGATCGTTAGAGGAAGATAAGACAAGAAGGATTCAAGAAACAATCAGAATAGATCAATACAACATACTTAAAGAAATCAGATTCCTTTTTCAGTTCTTGTATGTGTCTGACATTTTGCAGTATTCGTTCAACTTCATCAAATATCTCTATCCTGATTGTCCCACTACCAACAATCCTACGAGCTTTGTTGTCTCCAAGCAATATTGATCCACCGTTAACCAGTTGGAGTATCTCAAACCAATCTTTATGAGGACACATATGGAAGGAGTAGCCTGAATCAAGAATCCACCTCTTGCTTGATTCAAACTTAGTAATTTCTAAAGCATCAGCTGAATCGTAGTCATCAGAGACTACACTACATCTTCTGATTCTTTTGGTTTTTCTTGATATTTTTTATTCATGTCAAGACAGTTCTTCTTGAAGCGACCTTCATTGTGGCAATGTTAACATTTGAAAAGTCCCTTTGATAACTGATTTTAGCTATTCTTTCCTTGTCTTGATCTTGATCTGTTCTGACCGTTTCTTAAATCTTTTTTTTTCCGATCTTCCTCTAACGATCAGGCCATCTCCGCTGATTTCCTCGTTCATGTCATATTTCCTTTTAAGTTTTTTGGTTCTAATCAGCGATTGAACGTCTTCTAGTGAAATTGTCTGCACCATTCCATTGAGCATTGCATCTTTGAAGTGCTCGTAACTCTTAGGAATGGAGTTTAGTAACAACAGTGACTTGCCTCACCATCCATCTTGACATCGATATTTTCAAGATCATCTATGATCTTGTTGAACTCGTCAATTTCTTCCGAAACTGATTTGTCTTCGTGCATTTTAAAAGAGTACAAGCGTCGCTTCAAGAAGAGTCTATTGGTCAGAGATTTCGTTACGTAGAGCATTTTGAGTTTGGCCTAAAGCGCTTGAGTCATCGTTTCCCTCGACACTTCCCTCAGAACTGTCTCTCAAGCTCAAGATTATCAAGCTATGAGCCTTGTCCAGGATGCTGTTGTTCTCAGTCTTGGACATCTCGGCCGGCAATGCAGTAGGACCTTGCAGTTCTTCGACGATCCCTTGCTGCACCAATAGAGCTCTCATCTTGACTATCCACAAGCCGAAATTATTCTTTCCGATGAATTTTTCGATGTAGAACTTGACGGTTCTCATTGTCGTGGCTAGAATTTCCACAGACGGCGCCAATTGTTGTAGAATATGTTGCCAAGAGAACCACAGGATAGTAAAAAAAAATCGCAGGACAACAAAATGGAAGCTGGAAAAGGAAGAAAACCGCAAAGAAGAAATTAAACTGTAAAAAAATGCAAACAAGAACACCGAGAATTTATGTGGTTCAGTCCATAGGAGCTACATTCAAGAGAGGGAATCAAGAAACAATTCACTAAGACAATCTTGAAGATTACACCACACAAAATCAAGGATAAACCAATCTTCTCAAGCTCTCTATCGATCTTCATCTCGATAAAAGCTTTTTTGGTTCCTCACCTTGCTCTCAGAATTACTCTCCCCCTTAACCCTATCAACTCATATACATCATTACATATATATAGACCAATGACCCATACAAGAAAACCGGTTAAACACTTTTAAATAGCCAAATGACCGTTGTATCCGTTAGCTATTTAAACCTCTTTATAAACGCGGCTTTGTCTTAGTTTGCCTACTTGGGAGTCACGATAACAGTTCTTCTAGAAGTTGGTATAACAAAAGGATGTCCATGACACCGGATGGAAGGGCTCAAACTTAGTTTTTGTATAGCATCATGCAATTTTGGGCTATTTTTTGATGCTCCAGGAGATGAATGTGCTACGAAGGTGGAGTTGAATTTGATTGTGGGCTTGCTATCTGTGGAGTCACTTGCTCAATCTGCATCAAAATAGGTGTGGAGACTGAGAATGTTGTGTTGAATGGGTAGTCTGAGATTAATTTTCTTTCGATGCAATAAAATAGCCATTTAATGAGTTGGAAGTGGTGGCATTAATGAAGTTGATACTTATGTAGACAAAGTTGGTTCAATGCAAATGCAATAACCGACCTTATGATAATTAAATATTGAAGTGAATTTATGTGATTACGATATGTTGTAGAATTTTCAAACTCAAGACTATCAACAATGGTGAGTTGTTTGGATAGAAAACGGTTGAGAAGGGGTTATACTTCTTTATTCTAGCTTTAGCATTGATGCCTCGTGCATAACTTTTTGGATTAGGAAATAACTGTGAGAGTCCTTAATATCTTGTAGTTCCAAGAAATAAAGAATTAAACCAAAGTTTTTCATGCTATTTGTTGACTGTAGATTTGCGATCAGTGCTTGAATGGAGTGGTTGTTTTTTGTGACAAGTATGGCATCAACATAAATTAGTAAATATATGCCTATACCATCATGGTGATATAGGAGGATTGGTTTTATTTCTTTAATTGAAAATCGAGCTTCATGAGATGTTTGGAGAATGTATTATACCATTGGCGTGAGGCTATTTGAGGGTATAGATGGCCTTCCTAGGTTGGCAAATAGAGATGGGGTTTTGGAGGTTGCTGAAGCCTGGAGGTTGACAAATGCGACAACGCCATTTAATTTGTTGTGAAGAATAGCATTGGGGATTTTGGGTTGAAGGATGCCCCAATCATAATGCTTAACAACAGTGACAAGTATTCATGTGGTTGACATTTTAAGCATAGCTCTTGCTAATAGCCTTGAGAAACAAGTGTAGCTATGTATGACCATTGCATTGTTTGCATTATGCTTATCTTTAAAGGTCAATCGCCAATTGAGAATGATTTTGTGTAATGGTGGAGGGGCAAGCGTCTTGGTGCCTTGAGTTTAAAAGCCTAGAAATTTTAGTAGAGATAGCATGAACAATTTTGCTTAATTTTACTAGTATAGGGATCGAGGTATTTATATATGCTATTTATGTTTCATATCCAATAAATGCATAGCATCTCAATCACGGAGCTACTTTCTAGCCAGAATTTAGTGGAAACCAATGTTAGCAAGCATAGCCGAATAGTCTTAGATGTGCATGGGAAGGGGTTTGGAGAAATTACAGCTGATATGGAGGTTTATTTTTTTGTGGTCAGAGATGGCGTTAGGTTTATTAGTAGATTGCTTTGAGAACAGTATTTAGGCCAAAGATGATGTGGTATGTTTGCATAGTGGAGTAGATTACGAGGGGTCTCTAGGATGTGATGATATTGCGTTTAACAACCTTGTTTGAATTAGAGGTATATGGAGTAGATTACGAGAGGTCTCTAGGTTCGGTCCTGGCGAGGCTAAACAACATCACTAAGAACTCATAGTCTCTTTCATGTGTCCTGAATTTTGAATTGTGCACATCCACTGGCTACATCTTGATCTGGTGGTAACCTTACTTAAGATCAATTTTTGAGAAAATGACTGCTCCATAAAACTCTTCTAGCAACTCATCAATCACAAAAAAAAAAAAAAACTTGTTCAACACCGTTTTCTTGTTCAAAACCCGGTAGTCCACACAGAATCTCCAACTACCATCTTTTTTCTTCATCAACAGGACAGGACTGGAGAAAGGGCTCACACTAGGCTGATAATCCCAGCCTTGAGCATGTCCTTGATCAGCTTCTCCATGTCATCTTTTTGAATCTGGGGGTACTTGTATTGTCCGACGCTGATGGGAGAAACGCCCTCCTTCAATATTATAGCGTGCTCATGCTCCCTTCGAGGTGGTAACCCGCTTGGCTGCTGGAAAACATCAGTAAACAGTTGTAGGAGCCCCTCTGGAAACTCTGCCAACTCTGAATCTCAAACCTCCTCAATGTTCTGCAACCCCACCAAGTGACCCAGACCTACTCCCTGAATCGACTTGGCCATGGTTTTGAGCGACACCGTAGTTTTGCATAAGCTAGCATCTCCTCTCAATACCACCTTCCTACCCTTCACTTGGAATTCCATTGTCAAGAACTTCCAATCCACCTTCATCTCTCCCAATGTTCGCAGCCATTTCATCCCCAAAGTCACATTTGTGTTGCCCAAATCTAAAGCAAGAACGTCTTCCACCACCTGTAGGCCATGTAGTGTCAGAACCAGTCCCTTGCAAATTCCCCTACTTTTCTCCAATTTCCCCGCTCCCATAATGACTCCAAAGCTCCCTGTAGCCACCAGCTTCAGCCCTAGCTTCTCCACAACCTGATTTGAGATAAAGTTATGAGTAGTCTCGCTATCCACCAACACTACAATCGGTTGATCTCTGATTCATCCCCTCACCTTCATGGTGTGATTTGGGATAAATCCCACCACTTAATTGAGGGACACGTCCGCCACATCCAAATGCAAATACTCCTCCTCCACTATTTTCTCTTATGAGTTCTCACTCTTTGTATCCTCCTTCTGAAAATGACCAATTGTTTTCATACATGGCACCTTACCTATGTATGAAAAAAAGTTTAATCACTTTTTAAATGTTAAAATAATGGTATTGTTGATGTGATATGAAAGATTTTGGTGGATAAATGTAAAAGTAAAGTTTAGGTGTTAGATCTGTAAATATATAGGAATTGGGTGGTATGCATGTAAATGCCCCAAATCAGCACTTTGGGATATCTTTCTTTGTGAATATGAACGTGGTTCAAGAATTCTTATATTGCAGATTTGGCCAACCTTGTAACTTGTAGGAGGATATTGTGTGAGCGGGCAATTGTTGGTAGAAATGTAAACGAGCTAAGCATGAGCGAGCTCAGAGACTATGTGTTCCCCTCAAAGTTTAAAATTTGTGTTCATGTTAGGCTTGCTTAATGAGCGATTTGAATATGAGCTTTTTTAAGAAGTCGAGCGCAAAGTGTTCGTGAACAATGAGCTTTCTCCATCACAATTCTTACACTTTTTTGCTGAAATTGTATGAGATTCTGTAATTCTTTTTTTATATATCTAACCTCATTTCTGCCAGTCTACATTTTTTTATTTAATTACACATATTTCTGTATTTTATCTGCATTAAGTTCTTTGATATCAGGATAAAGCAGTGGTAGCTGTGGAAGGTAGGACAACAGGAACTTCTGGGCAAGCTCTTCTTGCGTTTGGTGAGACAAACTCCCATTCTGTTTTATGTTGGAAGATTTACACATATACCACTCAATTCCTACGTATTTACATATCTAACACTTGAACTTCAATTTTTACATACATGCCATCTTATCTCTTCATGAAAATGTGTATTTTGCCTTTTAAAAGTTAAAATAATGGTATTTTTGATATGATATAAAAATGTACATTTCACCCCGACAAACTCCCACTCTTATATGTTGGAAAATTTACTTTGTGTACCTCTCAATTCTTATGTATTTGCATATCTAACACCCGAACTTCAATTTTTTACATATATTCTACCTTATCATTGCATGAAAATGTATATTTTACTTCTTAAAAATTTAAATGGTGATATTTTTGATGTGATGTGAAAAATTTTGATGGTATAAAAGTAAAAAAGTAAAGTTTATGTTTGATGATTTGCTTCTAAAATCTTCATTTAATATGTCTTTATAAACATGAACTTCTGGGCAAGCTCTTCTTGCGTTGGTTGGGCCATACTCCCATTCTCTTATATGTTGGAAGATTTACATAAATACCACTCAATTCCTATGTATTTACATATCTAACACCTGAACTTGAATTTTTACATGCATGCCATCTTATCTCTGCATGGAAATGTATATTTCAATTTTTAAGAGTTAAAATATTGATTTTTTTTATGTGATATAAAAAATTGGGTGGTATAAGAGTGAAAAAGTAATGTTTGATGAATTGCTTCTAAAATCTTCATTAAAAATCTGTTTTTTATAAAAATTTCATAGATTTCTTACAGTCATTTGTTTGCTGTACTTCAGAAGATGGTAGCTGCAGCAATAGAGAGCTTTCAAGCATGGTGACGTTTTCATCGAAATGGACTCCCATAGAAATGGAAGTAAACTGCGATATGGCGGCCGACATTGAACTTAGCAAATTCAACCCTACACCGGCACCGAAAAGGAAGCCATGCTATGGTTGGATTAGTGAGGATGAAGACTAGGGATTCAAGAGGGCATTGTGATGAATTTGAGCTCTTTTGCTTCCATTTTCTTAGTGAAAGAAAGTATATGTAGTTTGATAAATGATATTACAATATGAGTATCATGCTAAGTAGGAATACAAAATGAGTTTGTCTATTATTATTATTATTTTTTATTTTTTAAAGGAAATTTTTATTTGATTATGGCGATGGCCGTGATTATCATGACGGTAGTATGATAGTGGGCAATCAACTTGGTTCCCTTGATTAGAGGGGACTTCATGCCACTAGGACGATAGATAATTGAATTTTGTTGCTTAACATATGTGACGAGTTGCTAAGAGCTGCAATTGACATCAAATGTTAGGGTTTGTTTGATGCGTGGCATGTATTTTGATCATTCATGTGATTGAAGGGGAGATTTGAAGATAGAGAAGTAATATTTGTTGGATGCTAGTTGTTAACGAGCATCAAATAATACTTGCTAGAAATGAAGTTCTATCAATTGTAGATGGTCGCTTTGTTCATCCCATTAATATGAGGGGAGACCAAGTGGTCACCAATGATTGAGATACAACAGATGGACATTGATCGTTGTTCGTTTGTGATTGAAGATAAAAAAATATCAAACGACGAGTGACATTTGACAAACGATTTGGTCGTCCTCTTTACAAGAGTAGAGATATGTAACTTTGAAAACAAACAATGAATGTTTGGGAGCTGGCTAATGGATGGCAACCATAGTTATGCATTGGGCAGTCTTCAATAGAATATTGTAAGAAGTTAAGGGATAATTAGTAGTTTGCTTAGTCATGTCTTAACTCCTAATAGTGTATGAAAAAAGTAGATGATATCAAATGAGAATATAAGAAGTTTAATGATGTCATGGAATTAGTAGTTGAATCTATCTTTCTCTTAATAAAGAGGAGACTATAATCCAAGAAGTTATGGCGCTCAAATGTCAAAATAATAATAATAATAAAATATATTTATACATTTTTAAAGGGGCATTAGGCCGTTACATTCTTCTCATTAACTTTCGCTCTTTTTGACATTCAAAATTAGTAGGCCGTTTGATATGTCAAATGAGCCTTGAACAAGAATTGTTAAATATGTTTATGAATGTTTGATATGGACATTTTTGGATTAGGATTGATTGGGATTGGGTGGTTGGGAATATGGACCTACAAGGTGTGTGATGTAATTAATGATAATGATTATCTAAGATTAGGATTTATTCATTATTTATTTATATAAAAAAATATTTTAATTGTTTTGAGTTGGTGTGCCTACTGTTTTGTTTTGACAGAACGCGTTTTGACTTTCAATATGTGCTGCATTTAACCATGGAGTGAATAAGATTTGCTTTCATATTGATGATGTATGCTGCATATTACTATAAGATATAACTATCTAATATCTTTGAAATTTTTAGTACATGTCTTGATACATAAATAATTTATCTTGAGAGTAAAAAATATATATGAAATGATCAAATAGTTGTTGACATAGTACGCGTTTTTGACTTTGAAAATAAGTTGCTAAATAACTTCTGGGCTAGGTGTTACCTCCGAAAAAAGCCCTTAAGAGAGGTGGGTAGTCAAGGACTTAACTACTGCTTTTCAGCCCTACACCTAGCCGATGTGGGACTATTTGTCCGTGACATTCTCCTCCACCCAATCACGTGACGCCCTTGTCACGGATCGGCTCCACCAAGGGTCCCACTTGACCATGGAGAGTCCACACACCTGACAGACACTAATATACTCTGATACCACTTGTCATATTCTAAAAGAGCCCTTAAAAGAGGTGGGTAGCCCAGGACTTAAATACTGTTTTTCAGTCCTACACTTAGCCGATGTGGGACTATTTTTCCGTGACATAGGGCTACAAACGAATCGAGTCGGGTCGAGTGAGGCTGTGTTCGAACAACCTTGTTTATAAAATTCGCGCTCGAGCACAAATCAGGCTTTTAGGGGTGTGTTCAAGCTTGATGTTTATGTTCAAACTTAGTTTATTTATCATTATGACTCTTCGAGTTTGGTTCATGTTCGTTCATATGATGATAATCAAGTCATTATTGAGCATATGAAGTATTATCAAGCTATTTAGTTTCTATCCAAACGATATTTTTTTAGCAAAGTAAAACTAGTGCTAACAAGCTATATTATTTTCTAACAAAATGAGACTTGTCAAACAAACTAATGAATAATATAATTGAGCTATTTATTTTTAGTCAGATAAGTTTTATCAATCTTATAAATGAGTTACTTGTTGAACTTACAAAAACAAACACACATTAATTAAATGAACGAGCAACTAAATAAATAACTAATATCAGCATAAACAAGCACAAATAAATAAAAAACTAAGCAAATAAGTCATTATCTTATTTTTGTATTATGAATTAAAAATTAATTTTATTTAATAAAAAAGAGTTTTAAAGGAATTTATGCATAAATTTTAAATTAAGCTTTAACCATCTTATTCATAAGTATTAAATTGAGCTTTAATTGAGCTTATTCGTGAACTTTAAATAAAAATGTTTCATCGAGCTTGTTCGTGATCTTTAAATTATATTGTTTAAGACTATAAGCAAATTGAACAATGAGTTGTTAAAGTTTGTTCATTAATGATCTAGCATTCAAAAAATTGTGTTTGTTAAATTAATTAATCAAATGAACAAGAGTGTTTAAATTTGTTCAATTAGTTAGTCAAACGAGCATGGATGAGCTCTTATCGAGCTGAGCTACAGTTAGCTTACCAAGTGCTCGGATCATTTGCATCCCTAGCAAGGCAAGCACATACATGTCTTTTTGGAAATTTGTATATATATCACTCAATATCTATATATTTTCATATTTAACGTCCAAATTTGATATTTATATTCATAAGACCATGATTACGTTAATTTATGCATAAAAAACTGTGTATTCGTTTTTAAAAAGATTAGAATTGTTTTATTTTTAATGCGACGTTAAGGATTTGAATAAAAAAATATGAATATTTAGGTGTTAAATGTGTTGTTTGTTTTGTGTGCTCTCTCTCTCTCTCTCTCTCTCTCTCTCTCTCTCTCTCTCTCTCTCTCTCTCTCTCTCTCTGTGGCTCTTGAGAAGATTTAACGGTCCAGAATGGAGGAAGTATGACAAATGACGATCCACCGACAGAAAACCAAGAGACCCACTTATTCAGTCGGATATAGTCATTCGAGCTGTCAGAAGAAGAACAAAAAGAAATGATTGAAACGATCCAAATTCAAACTAATCTGACTAAAGCATGACAGATAATCATCTGAGCACTACAATAAAACAGTCTGAAGGCATCAACCTACCTTCTAGAAGATCGGACCCGACAAAAAAAATGTGTTCCTTATTATCACCAACAGTCTCACGGACTCCCTCGAAGCTCCTCATCAGGAATAAGAATTGATACTCACGTTATAAAAAATCGGACCGAACCAACCAGTTCAACCGTGAACCAGTTGGTGGTCCGGTTTTGACAGGGATGAAAAACCGATCGACAAACTGTCAATTGGTGCAAAACTTGTTAGAACCCACTGGAGACGGCGGTCGAACCGGCCAACTGGTTAAAGTGTAATTTCTTTTGTCTTGTGCCATATTTTTATGGGAAATTGTGAAGAATGGTTTGAATCTTTTAATATCGCTGAAAATGTGTCGTGCTCTAATCATTCTCATCTTCATTTTCTTCTTTAACTTTTGTGAAATATGCATGAATATTAGTCTATTACATTTTCTTTTTTTTTACAATTTTTTTTTTTTTTTATGTTTCCCTCTTGTTAACCTTCGATACCGAATTATTTAGGTTATATTTAATATTTTTTTATATTTATGATGTCATTCTGTTCAAGTTCAACCTTGGTTCAACTATTGAACCTTAAACCATCTCCTCTACCTATTCAATGTTCGATTTGATTTTTTGAAGTCCTGTAGATAACACAATAGAGTCTTATAATCATTCCACATGCTCTTTTAGTCGAGGAACGAACTCCCTGTCTGGTTACAGTAATTCATATTTTGCCAGATAATCTAGCCTCATTTTAGGATCAATAGTCAACAATCAAGCTAAAACAACAATCGGCAAAGTAATAATATTTCCCACATTTATTTTTGAGGGTATATGTGTACTTATATTATCATAGAACGCGTTTGGACATTCAAAGGGAGCTGCCACTTGCCAGCTAACTGGAAATAATATTTCTATAAAAGCTTAATTCAAGTAAATAATTAAACAAGTGATGAAATCACTAATAAACATATTTATTTATAAATGATTCAAATACAAATCTGAGTTATAAATACATTTCCGGACATTTTGTCCCACACAACTTTAATAAAAGAATTTCGTAATAAATAAATAAATCTTAAAAGCGACATATTCCGTTCCCGCACATCAAGTTTAAGACATCAGTAATCAGGAGTTAACCTTTCTGCAGTTCAAACGTATCTCTCCGCTGCTTCCCGTAAGCGGAGTAATGCCCCCCATCTTCACCATAGCCGCTGCAAAATCGCGGAAGAAGAGAGCTTTATTGTTTCTGTACTGCCTCACCAAAGCATCCTGCGTTCCATTATTGAAGAGCTCCTGATCCGAATGCAACAGCCCCCGAGAGCCCATCAAGTTCTGATAGTATTCCGACCCGAACTTATTGGGGCTCTGAACGTCCAGCGGCGCCAAATTTGTATCTCCACCCGAAGCCTGTGGGCAGCTTCCCCGTCGCAGGGCAGCGAAGTTGGGGTTGATGTTGTTGTCATTGTAGATGCGAGAGCGGAAGAATTGGCATTGGGTTTGGCCTATGGTGTGGGCCCCAGACAACGCCGTCATGTCACGTGCGTTCAGACCCTTTGCGGCGAACTTGGAGATGAGTGTGGAGAGGGTTGATGATGGGCCTGGGAGATCGCTGTTCGCCGCGCTTTGGCTGGCCGTGGTGGCGTCTCTACGGCCCAGAGCTACAGCCCACGTTGGCCCGCCCAGCTGAACTACGCCATCGCGAGTAGCGAGAGCGAGGATGTCGGCACAGGAAACAGTTGATTTGCAGGAGGCTTCGACGCTGGATTTAATGGCATCGATGACCTCAAATCCTCTTGCGGAGTTTTTGTTGGGGAATGCGTTCTTTTCGCCTGTCAGTGTTGGGGTGTCGTCCAGAAGAACAGAACCATCGCAACCCTGAAATTGTTAAAGTTAATTAATACATTATATAAGAAATGATATGATTGTCCATATATATATACAGTAACGAGGCGGTCGTGAAAGAAGAGGCGGAGAATGGAGGCAGCCATGCGCGGCTCTTTGGCGACGGCTTGAGCCATGGATGAGCGCACAATGGATTGCAAGTTTGGACATGTTTTGGCGTAGAAGTTTGGAGAGAGTTGGGCTTCAGCGGAGGAAGCTAGTAAGAGCAATAAGATTGGAAGAGCCAGAAATAACATTGTAGCATTAGAGGCCATGGCTGGCTGCAGGCTGATTAAAAGCTAATGATTAAAGAGTGGAAGAAGGGAGTAGAGGTTTATGGATTCGTTGTAATGAGAGGAATGAAGGTGTGTGGGATATTTATATACATATAAGTGAATGGGAATTGGATAGAGGGAGGGCATTGTTGAACATTCGAAGAAGGTGCTCCGCGTTATTTTTAACTGTGTTGATGGAGTCAAGTCAACGACAGCTCGGCCCGCCTGCATATTCCCGAGGTGATTGGTTGACAACGAGCTACCGCTAGACCTCGCCATTCCTCGTGCTCTTTTGTGATGGGTCTGTTTGGTCTGATTGAGAAGAGTAATATTAATCATTGGCCTTCCTCTTTTAGGCGTGGAGATTTTTTTTAATGAAAAATATGAGGAGAGGGATTTAAACTTAGGGGATATTAATTTTGGATGATATAAATTGAATTGTAATAGGAATCAATTTACTACATGTTTTTGTATCTACTGATAAAATTTAATAATCTAAAAGTAAACAGTATGATAAAGGTATACCCACTAATCAAAGATCTTACACTATAAGAGTTGACGTAATTACACTCAGGGTACTGACACAATTATGCTGAGAAAACAAGTTCTACGAGGGACTAAAAATTTATCAATTAATGAAAAGATTGTGAAGTGGTTTATGACACATATCGACACCCGATAAAGACAAGCCAAGCGAGAAGTTTGTAAACAATCATCTTGCGCCCTACATTAAGCGTTAATATACATCAATGACAAGCTCTGTGAGGGGTTTCTAAGCATATCAAGTGGCCTATAAGATGTATCAACACCAGATAATGATAAGCTTCGCGAGAGGTGTCTAACCATCGCCACCAGTGGCCTATGAGATGTGTCGACACCTGATAACAACAAGCTCCGTGAGGGGTGAGTGAATGATTGTCATGAGCCACACTTTAAGCGTTAACTCCCGGCAACAACAAGATCTGCGAGGGGTGTCTAATCATCGTCAGTGGCCTATGAGACGTATCAACACCCAACAGCGACAAGCTCTGCGAGGGGTGCATGAACGATCGTACTGCGCCGAACTTTAAGTGTTAATACCCGACATCAACAAGCTCCGCAAGGGGAGTCTAACCATTGCAAGTGGCATATGAGACGTATCGACACTCGACAATGACAAGCTCAGCAAAGGGTGCGTGAACGATCGTCTTGCGCTCTACTTTAAGCGTTACACCAGACAGTGACAAGCTCCGTGAGGTTATCTAACTATTGCTAGTGGCATATGAAACGTATTGACACCCAACAATGACAAGCTCCTAATATTTTTTTTTTAATTTGATATATTATAGTGGATGTAAAATATGAAGTATAGTAAAATATGATAGACATAAGTCTATATGATTGCCCTTCTTGGATTCACAACCTCTTATTTGTAAATTTTGTTGTTATCATTATCACTTATTAACTTAATATAGTTCGCATGCATAACTATTTTATTTTCTTAATTTTCTCATGTTGTTTGAAGAGACGTTGCTAAATCAATTGTTCTCATCAATCATATACGAACAATTTTATGGATCACACATACAGTTATGCCTGAGATATGCTGTGATTCATACCGTCATTCTCACATCTAATTATCCAGACTTAATATCTTCTCCAAAACAACATACCAATGAATTTTTTTTATTATAGTTACTTGAATAATAAGTTACATATATAGTTGCTTTATATGAGTTTAATTAAGGAAAATTCTATGGAAAGGTAGGTGGCCTTATGGTTGCAATATATGAATTAAATCTAAATTATTGCAAATGCATCATTAGCTCCAAAATATGCGAATTTTGATGAGCACTCATGATTTACTTGCTCATTATAAAAATAATTTTAGCATAAATTAACTATGGTTGTTATAATCATATTGTGAGGAAAAAGATGGACCAACTCGGCTTTTACGTACTACGCGCAATGCTCCTATTACATGTTTAGTTGAAGTTGCATTGTCTCTTGCTCATAATTAGCTGTCTCATTTTACCGGGCCCATTCAAGAAAAGAAAATTACGTATATACCACCTAATTCTTATTTATTTACATACCTAACACTTATAATTAAATATTTATATTTATAATATTTTGATGTCATAAACTTTTATATATGAAAATATTTGTTTTAATTTACTCCTAGGAAAATACTTAGATACATCTCCAACAAATCTCAATCACGGACAAGAATCTTGTGACATGACATAGATCTCAAGGCTGCTTTTTGAGCTAAAAAATATTCAAATATCGATAAAAAAACTTATCCAAAACTCGATTTCAGCAAACTTACGGTCAAACTGACCGGCTCGACAAGAAGAGCCTAATGTTATCAAAATTAGTCTAATCCGAGTCAAATCAAACTCAGATCAAGTCATTAAACTACTCTTAGAGGTTTTTCAAAAATATTTAGTAGGTTAAACGAATGTTGAATCTGGCGAACTTATAGTTGAATCGAGCGTTTCAACAAGATGAATCCAACGAGTCTAAGATTGCTCAATTTCGACATAGTTAAGTCACTTAAATGTCCATCAAATGTCGTCTAATTGAAGGAAGCTCTCTAGATTGTCCGATCAAAGTGGTTCATATTCCTGCATTAAGAGTCCCACCCCTCTCATGAGAGGGGGCTGGAGGTTTGAGAGAAAATTTAAAGCTGTGAAAAGGAGCAAAAGTTCAGCACCACCCCTGTTACATTTGATCATCGTGAATTGTTGTCGATCTCTACCGGTCGCCATTGACCATCGTCGATTGTCGTTGATACTCGCCAACCGCCGTCAACCACATTCATCGACACCCTTGGACCATCTTCCATCACCGCCTACCGCCGTTGTTCCCTGTCGACCACTATTATCGTCGTCGATCACTACCAATCATCATCGACCACTGTCGAGTGGAAGCCACAAATTTATGTTGTAACTTGAAAAATCTAGTAACCATTTGCCGTCTACGGGACAGATAGTCTCTGTAATTATTAACCTATAGTATTTTACATTTGGGCCAGACCACGTGATTTTTTTTTCTTTATTGGTTTTTCATGAAAAAAATTCTTGTGTCATTATTGATTGTTTTCTTTACATGAGTGTGTGTTGAATTCTCGTGCAACGTTAAGGTGATAATTCATCACTCTACTGTCACGAATTTTCTAACACGCATCAATACTGATGACTGTATTTTTTATTTAATTTTAAGGATTTGATTGATATGCATTTAAAAAAAGAATATTTAGGAATCAGATATGTAAACACAAACTTATGGTATATATGTAAATGACTACCAAAAATATAACAAGGCCGCCTTATGGCTTTGACATATTAATTAAACTTTGAAATTTAGTCTAAATAATTAATTATTTATTGCAAATTGATTAAACCTTTCACGTGCCTTTGTCCAGCTTGCATATCTCAAATTTAATATCAAGTTTAGCCGCTTAAATTCAAATCATTTTACCTAATTCTCTATTTTTTAAGTTAATTAAAACCTATTTGATTTTTGTTCTTAATTGCACGAATGAAATATTATCTGAACGATTTTTAGCAAATTAACCATTTTAGAAGGTGCAAAATAATAAAATGTAATATGTTATATATGTGAGTTGTGGGCTATCTGTATGTGTAAGATAATAGTACTTGATAAGAAAATATAAGACTTAATAATCAACTTTAGCTAACTAAAACTGAATGTTAAATATTTATATCACCATATCATCATTTTATAATTATTATATAAATATTTTATTTTCTAATCATTTAATTTATAAGTTTATATTTAGCTGTACATAAACAGTTATTCCTAAATTTCCTTATATTTACTTTAAGAAAATATAATAATTTTGAATTTCATATTAATGAAAATTTATATCAAGAATTTTAATAATAAACTTTTATAATTTTTTATAGATTTACATACATGATACATACCACTCAACTCTTAAGTATTGACATATCTAACATCTTAACTTCATTTTTTATGTGTATGTCATCTTATATATATACGAGAAATTGTTTATTTCGTTTATAAAAGTTAAAATAATGCTCTTTTTGATATGATATGAAAGATATTTGGTTGGTATAAATGTAAATACCAAAGTTCAGCAGCAGATATATAAATAAATTTGGTCGTATACATGTAAATGTCCCAATAACATATCTTACATTTATATATGAGGCGTTTTAAAAAAACCACAGTAGTAAGCTACATTTTGCAACCTGATTTGATCAAGATGGTGTCTGTCAGAAATATACCTACCGATCTGACTTTTTTAAAATAAAATAAATTTGTAATAGCCACCAAAATTTTTTTGACTAACAGTCACGTGTGTTTCTTCAAACAGCTGCAATTGCATCAAACAAACTATGAATTGGCAACACAGTTTGAAAGTCAAAACACGTTAAATGTTAACGACTTTTTCATCGCTAGATATTAATATAATATTTTAATTCTCTCAAAATAAAACATTTTTTATAAGTAAATAGATATGTAAATAAATAAGAGTTGGGTGGTATGTATGCATCTCCCCATTTCCTTATATAAATATGTACTTAAAATAGATATATGATATTATATGCATTTATCTCCACACACATCACAAAGCTTATGATATTATATGTACTTATAATTCAATGCTGCCAACTACCAAATCCCACCAATCCTAATCCAAAGACGAATATCAAACTTTAATAATCATAATTAGAAATTTATCAAGGGCATTCGAGAAATCAATCAGCCTATACATTTTTCATATAATAAAAAGACAATAGTCACCGATTATCATAGCATCATTATATCTCTTATGTTTCTTATATGCCATCACCTAATGCTATTTAATGCCTAGCTATTAGGACATACATCAATCCTCATCATTCAATGTTTCTTCTACATGCCATTGAACTCTAATATTGTAAAGAGAACAATCAAATCAATTGTCAATTGTTGCCCAATGTTTGATGTTGTTCATCGACAAATACTACCCCATGAGTAGTGCTCAACATTCATCATCCTGTCAACAATTACTTCATCTCCCCTTTTATCAATAAGATAACAAAAACAATCGTCCATAGCTGATAAAATTTT